TTCTCCACTGATGATAAGTCCATTAAGCACCGATTTTGGCCAATTTATTTCCGGATGGCATTTTCATAATTTTGTGGGCGTCGAAAGGCCATTTTCTTTGCATTTTGAAGGCTACAGATCACGGATTCTGCTTGATGCTATTCTTCAACAATGATTAAGTCCATTAAGCATCTATTTGGGCGGATTTATTCCGGGTCAATTTTTGGTAGATTGCAAAGGGGTACCATCACAGATTTTGGGCGTTTTTCCGCAATGTCGTTTTCTTTCGATTTTGGAGGCTACAGATGACGGAATCAGGCGGAGGTATTCTCCACCTATAATGAAGTCTATTGATCCTATTCTCCACTGATGATAAGTCCATTAAACACTGATTTTGACCAATTAATTTTCGGATGGCATTTTCGTAATTTTGTGGGCGTCGAAAGGCCATTTTATTTGGAATTTGAAAGCTACTGATCACGGATTTGGTCTGAGACTATTCTTCAACGAAGATTAAGTTCATTAAGCACCGATTTCGGCGGATTTACTCCGGATAAATTTTTGGCAGATTGCAAATGGGTACCATCACAGATTTTGGGCGATTTTTCGGAAATGTCATTTTATTTCGATTCAGGTGGCTACAGATCACGGAATCAGGCGGAGGCTATTCTCCACCGATAATGAAGTCTATTGATAATATTCTCCACAGATGATAATTCCATTAAGCACCGATTTGGGCCAATTTATTTTCGATGGCATTTTCGAAATTTTGTATGCGTCGAAAGACCATTTTCTTTGAATTTTGAAGGTTACAGATCACGGATTCCGCCTGAGACTATTCTTCAACTTTGATTAAGTCCATTAAGCACCTATTTGGGCGGATTTATTCCGTGTCAATTTTGGGCAGATTGCAAATGGGTACCTCACGTATTTTGGGCGATATTTCTGAAATGTCATTTTCTTTCGATTCTGGAGGCTACAGATCACGGAATCAGGCCGAGGTATTCTCCACCGATAATGAAGTCTATTGATCCTATTCTCCTCTGATGATAATTCCATTAAGCACCGATTTGGGCCAATTTATTTACGGATGGCATTTTCGTAATTTTGTATGCCTCAAAAGACCATTTTCTTTGAATTTTGAAGGCTACAGATCATGGATTCCGCCTGAGACTATTCTTCAACAATAATTAAGTCCGTTAAGCACCTATTTGGACGGATATATTCCGTGTCAATTTCGGGCATATTGCAAAGAGGTACCATCACATATTTTGGGCGATTTTTCCGAAATGTCAGTTCTTTCGATTCTGGAGGCTACAGATGACGGAATATAGCCGAGGGATTCTCCACCGATAATGAAGTCTATTGATCCTATTCCCCATGGATGATAAGTCTATTAAGCACCGATTTGGGCCAATTTATTTTCGGATGGCATTTTCGTAATTTTGTGGGCGTCGAAAGGCCATTTTCTTTGGATTTTGAAGGCTACAGGTCACGGATTCGGTTTGAGACTATTCTTCAACGAAGATTAAGTTCCTTAAGCACCGATTTAGGCAGATTTATTCCGGGTCAATTTTTGGAAGATTGCAAAGGGGTACCATCACAGATTTTGGGCGACTTTTCGGAAATGTCATTTTCTTTTGATTCTGGAGGCTACAGATCACGGAATCAGGCCGAGGCTATTCTCCACCGATAATGAAGTCTTTTGTTCCTATTCTCCACCGTTGATAAGTCCATTAAGCACCGATTTGGACCAATTTATTTTTGGATAGCATTTTTGTAATTTTGTGAGCGTCGAAAAGCCATTTTCTTTGGATTTTAATGGCTACGGATCACGGATTCGCCCTGAGGCTATTCTTCAACGAAGATTAAGTTCATTAAGCACCGATTTGGCTGGATTTATTCCATGTCAATTTTTTGCAGATTGCAAAGGGGTACCATCACAGATTTTGGGCGACTTTTCAGAAATGTCATTTTCTTTCGATTCTGGAGGCTACAGATCACGGAATCAAGCCTAGGCTATTCTCCACCGATAATGAAGTCTATTGTTCCTATTCTCCACCGTTGATAAGTCCATTAAGCACCGATTTGGGCCAATTTATTTTTGGATAGCATTTTCGTAATTTTGTGGGCGTCGAAAAGCCATTTTCTTTGGATTTTGATGGCTACAAATCACGGATTCGGCCTGAGGCTATTTTTCAACGATGATTAATTCCATTAAGAACTGAATTGGGCGGATTTATTTCGGGTCAATTTTTCGCAGATTGCAAAGGGGTACCATCACAGATTTTTGGCGATCTTTCCGAAATGTCATTTTCTTTTGATTATGGAGGCTATAGATTACGAAATCAGGCCGAGGCTATTCTCCACCGATAATGAAGTCTATTGATCCTATTCTCCACCGATGATAAGTCCATTAAGCACCGATTTGGGCCAATTTATTTTTTGATAGCATTTTCGTAATTTTGTGGGCGTCGAAAATCCATTTTCTTTGGAGTTTGATTGCTACATATCACGAATTCAGCCTGAGACTATTCTTCAACGACGATTAAGTCCATTAAACACCTATTTGTGCGGATTTATTCCGGGTCAATTTTTGGCAGATTGCAAAGGTGTACGTACCATCACAAATTTTTGGCAGATTGGAAAGGGTTACCATCACAGATTTTGGGCGACTTTTCGAAAATGTCATTTTCTTTCGTTCTGGAGGCTACAGATCACGGAATCAGGCCAGGTATTCTCCACCGATAATGAAGTCTATTTATCCTATTCTCCCGGATGATAAATCCATTAAGCACCGATTTGGGCCAATTTATTTTCGGATGACATTTTCGTAATTTTGTATGCATCGAAAGGCCATTTTCTTTGAATTTTCAAGGCTACAGATCACGGATTCCGCCTGAGACTATTCTTCAACTATGATTAAGTCCATTAAGCACCTATTTGGGAGGATTTATTTCGTGTCAATTTTGGGCAGATTGCAAAGGGGTACCATTACATATTTTGAGCGATTTTTCAGAATTGCATTTTCTTTCTATTCTGGATGCTACAGATCACGGAATCAGGCCGAGGTATTCTCCACCGATAATGAAGTCTATTGATCCTATTTTCCACTGATGATAAGTCCATTAAGCATCAATTTGTGCCAATTTATTTTCGGATTGCATTTTTCGTAATTTTGTATGCGTCAAAAGGCCATTTTCTTTGAATTTTGAAGGTTACAGATCACGGATTCCGCCTGAGACTATTCTTCAACGATGATTAAGTCTGTTAAGCACCTATTTGGGCGGATATATTCCGTGTCAATTTTGGGCAGAATGCAAAGGGGTACCATCACATATTTTGGGCGATTTTTCCGAAATGTCATTTCTTTTGATTCTGGAGGCTACAGATCACGGAATCAGGCCGAGGGATTCTCCATCGATAATGAAGTCTATTGATTCTATTCTCCACGGATGATAAGTCTATTAAGCACCGATTTGGGTCAATTTATTTTCGGATTATATTTTTGTAATTTGTACGCGTCGAAAGGGCATTTTCTTTTGATTTTGAAGGTTATAGATCACGGATTCCTCCTGAGACTATTCTTCAACTATAATTAAGGGGTCGTTTGCTTGTGGGATTTGGGTGATGGATTTGGAACCCAAATCCCAAGCATGATGGAGTTGACACAAATCTTTTGTTTGTTGAGGGACACAAATCCGTGGGGTCCATGGATTTGGACCCCTTTTTTAGATCCAAATCCGTGGACCCCACGGATTTGTAAATCCCACATTTCATTTGGGATTTGACAATAGAAGGAAAAAATGTGAGACAAATCCATCACAAATCCATGATAAAAAATCAACTAAACAAACAATGTACTCTTCCAAATCCATGATGCAACAAATCCATCATAAATCCAAAGGTTTTTAAAACTCAAAACCTTCATTTTCAAATCCAACAAGCAAACGAGCCCTAAGTCACTTAAGCACTTATTTGGGCGGATTTATTCCGGGTCGATTTTTGGCAGATTGCAAATGGGTACGATCACAGATTTTGGGCAATTTTTCCGCAATGTCATTTTCTTTCGATTTTGGAGGCTACAGATGACAGAATCAGGCGGAGGTATTCTCCACCTATAATGAAGTCTATTGATCCTATTCTCCACTGATGATAAGTCCATTAAACACTCATTTTGACCAATTAATTTTTGGATGGCATTTTCTAAATTTTGTGGGCGTCGAAATGCCATTTTCTTTGGATTTTGAAGGCTACTGATCATGAATTCGGTTTGAGACTATTCTTCAACGAAGATTAAGTTCATTAAGCACCGATTTGGGCGGATTTACTCCGTATAAATTTTTGGCAGATTGCAAAGGGGTTCCACCACAGATTTAGGGCGATTTTTCGGAAATGTCATTTTATTTCGATTCAGGTGGCTACAGATCACTGAATCAGGCCGAGACTATTCTCCACCGATAATGAAGTCTACTGATAATATTCTCCACGGATGATAAGTCCATTAAGCACCGATTTGGGCCAATTTATTTTCCATGGCATTTTCGAAATTTTGTATGCGTCGAAAGGCCATTTTCTTTGAATTTTGAAGGTTACAGATCACGGATTCCGCCTGAGACTATTCTTCAACTATGATTAAGTCCATTAAGCACCTATTTGGGCGGATTTATTCCGTGTCAATTTTGGGCAGATTGCAAAGGGGTACCTCACATATTTTGGGCGATATTTCTGAAATGTCATTTTCTTTCGATTCTGGAGGCTACAGATCACGGAATCAGGCCGAGGTATTCTCCACCGATAATAAAGTCTATTGATCCTATTCTCCACTGATGATAATTCCATTAAGCACCGATTTGGGCCAATTTATTTTCGGATGGCATTTTCGTAATTTTGTATGCCTCAAAAGACCATTTTCTTTGAATTTTGAAGGCTACAGATCATGGATTCCGCCTGAGACAATTCTTCAACAATGATTAAGTCCGTTAAGCACCTATTTGGGCGGATATATTCCGTGTCAATTTCGGGCATATTGCAAAGGGGTACAATCACAATACGAAGTCCCGACTACATTCATGCAACTGCTTTCTTTTAATGTGAGAAACTACCACATGCGTTATCAAATATTACCCTTTATTTTCCCAGCACGAGCAAGCTTATATAATCCCTTTGGGTCTCTGGCTTCACAAACTCGGAGTGGAACATCCATGAACACCTGTGTCCATAATGTTTGTCAACAAAATTCTATTATCGTGACTAGTAAATGAACGGAATCTGACCATTCATTATAAGGAAAAGAGCATCACAGAATATATAAACAGGACTAGAGAGTCAAGGTAGTAATAAGCATCAACCTCAATAAAATCTCCAGTTGGTAACATAGCACGACAGGAATCCCGATCCGCTCTGTAGGGAGAGATCAGGCATGCAATGCAAATTACTCCAGAATCAGCAAACAACTTAGCTACCTCACCTACGCATAAAAGAGTAAACCAGATGGTATATCACTGTAAATAGTTAAATTCTGAACCAGATCATTCAAGAGATAATTTGAAACAAGTGGTTGACAATTCAAAGCACTACGAGCTTACCAACTCGGCGGATGTTCTCTGCACGATCTTCTGCCTTAAAACTAAGATCACGGTTTAGACCGTGTCTTACATTATCTCCATCAAGAATGTAAGACAACTTCCCTCTTTGATACAAGAGTTGACTCAATGCACAAGCCACAGTGCTCTTTCCTATCAGTTGAATTCCAAATCAAAAATTGGGAAACGGATATAGTGGAGCAAATGCAATGCACAATGAAATATGCCACATTGGATGATGGGTCTTCTCCCTAAGAATGGGCAAATAACTCAAGTTGAAGGGAACTTAAAACTCAATTTCTTATCCAATAGCATAAAAACCATAATGCAGAATAACCCAATAGTAGTAGGAATCGCTCAATACTTATACAGACCATTAACATTACACGAAATTATATATGTCAACGTTTCATCTGCCTCCTAGTGATTCAAGTCCCAATTCTCAGTTTGCTCATTATTTCAGGGAACAAAAATCACAAAAATGAGGTATTAACTCCTGTACCCAAAAACTGAGGTACGAAGTACGAACAGTCTCCTCTAGCTCCAAGAAGCTATCTTGAAGAGAACTGGTTCAGCCATTTATTTCAGATAAATCCTATGTTTTTTTTTATGTAGTGAAAGGCAGACCATGGCATTCAAACTAATCATTGTGGAACTCACCTAATGTGATCACACAAGCCAAAATCAGTCATCAGCAAGTTAAACAGTCGAGTAGCAAATATACCTGAACCACTGAGACCCGTGATCCATATGACACAACCTTTCTGATTCAGCAACCTTTGCCTTCCATTTTTGTCAACAGAGCAATCGTGCCACTTGATGTTTGTTGAATTCCCAACAGTAGATAGTGGGCCGCGATTATTCCCTGTCCGTAAAAAAAGCACTTCAGGAGTCTACCCAAATCAATAAAGGAGATCAAAAGGTTCCATTCCACAAGCTTTAAAGTTACCCAGTCAAAATACGTTCCCTTTACAAGTTCTGTAATAGCTGGCGAAACAAAGATGGTGAATTAGAATCCCTAATTCGGTAAACAAGCTTGCTCTTTCCAGAAGAGAAAGGTTTAGATCGGTGGTAAATCAAAACCGACATTCAATCTTTTGGGTTGAAGATTCGGATCGACGGTAAGATCGAGATGAGATTTTGAATAAGTTGGGCGGGGGATAATTCCTACTTAGCTCACTTGATCATTGCGAAACCGAAAGAATGAGAAAGTAAAAAGATTACCGGCGTGAGCATGCCCGTTCACCGATACAGCATCCAAACACGACTCCTTATGGTCAGCAACCCTCCCCGCTTGGTTCGAGCTCGCCGGCGAGTCTTCCATAGCCTTGATCCTCAAACAGCGACCTTCGCCCTTGTTCCTCCTCCTCGTCGGGTTGAAGTTGGTCACGGCGTCTGCGTCGCGCGAGGTCCAGAATCCCGCCTTCAGAGTAGCGATTCCCGGCAGCGGCTTTGTTGCAGCCGCATTCATCCTGACGATTCGTTTTTTTACCCGAGAAAAGGGAAAGAGAGGCAGAGAAATTGGAGGGATGGTGGTAAAATAACGAAGGCGGCAGAGCTAAAAATGGGACGTTATCAAAATTCAATAGCGACCCTGAAAGAAAGGGATCGTGAATTGAATTCGATTTTGAATGGATTGGAATCGAACGATGATGGTGAGGGTTTTCAGTTTACCAAAACTGGGAGGCAATTTGGAGAAGGCAATGTCGTTGAAAGAAGTGCATAATTTGGAGGGGAAGGTGGAGAGCTTGTTTAGGGGCGACTAGCAATTTTATAAGTCTATAACTCACTGTTATCTTATATTTTATTAAACTTCTTTTATACCATTTTTGTTTCGTGTTTTTTTTAAGGAAAAGACATTTTAATTTTTTTAATAAGGCTGCAGCATATATTTGACTTTTATTGTTGAAAAAGAAAGGTGCAAGGATAAATCCGTGATTTAAATGTGCAATGCATTTAATTTCATATTTTTAGTAGAACAAATATGTTGTTTCCACTATGCTCAAAATATTCACACACAAAAGAAAGTCAAATGAATGAGGAATCCTACTCTTTGATACATGATATGACTTGTTATAATGAAAGAGACATTGTAACTTACAACTACAGTAAAAAATAATTAAAATCAATTTTGAGGATTTTTAAATTTGTCTTAATTTCATTTAAGATCGATAAAATACCCATTAGTCATTACACATAAGTTTATCATTTGCCTATTGGCCATATAATATTCATATTTTTAGTTTCTACTCATTTTAATAGGCTTAATTGCAAGTTTGGTCACTCGAATTGCTTAAAAATTTTACGTTTGCCACTCGAATTGATTTATTCCATTTATAGTCACTTGAATTAGTTGAACAGTCCAAGTTCAGTCACTCTCCGTTAACCTCCGTTAGACTCCGTTAAGTGATGACGTGGCTAACAGAAAGACACAGTCAGCATATTTTAACATTAAAAAACGACGACCCGACCCGCCAGCTCAGCCTTACCCGCCCTGTCAGCCATTCTTGCCCAACCCGCGAACCAACCCAATTAATTGACCCGAGACCCAACCCCCTGAAAAGTAAATCGAAAACAGATGGTTAGGGCATTTCCCTTCCTCCATCTTCGTCCTCTCATCCTCCCGCGCCGCCTCTCTCCATCGCACACCATCGAAAAGCTCTTCCCACAAGGAGGTCAGCCACCCTTCCTTCCTCCCCCCTTCCCCACACAAACAAAAAAGAATGGAGCTCACAGATTCACAAAGCAATCCCAATAAGCAGCAGCAGCAAAACAACAGCAACAACAGTTCCTCCCAAGAACCCCACCCTCACCATCTCCACCACCATCTTCTCCAGTACCAACAGTTCCGCTTCGATGGCGACGGTGGAGGTGGAGGTGGAGGCGGACAATCTCCTCAGCCTCCTCCTTTCATCGGCTCCATCTCCCGTTCTACAGCTCCTTCTTACTCCTCCCATCTCTACCGTACTCCCACCTCCGCTCCTTCTACTGCTTCTACAACTCCAACCGCTACTACTACTGCTACTACTACCAATTCATCTTCTTCTTCCCCTTCTCCCGCCGCCACGCCGTCGAATTCCATCCACCATGTCGACGCCTCCCTCACCATCAGATCTGGGCCGCTGTCGGACTCCTCTGCCCAGAAAAACGAGAGTAGTAACAACAACAGCATGGCAGTGGTAACGGGCGGAGGGGCAGGGGCGGTGGCGCCGCCGAAGCGGTCGACTAAGGATCGGCACACGAAGGTGGATGGGCGCGGGAGGATGAGAGGCGAAGATGGAGGAAGGGAAATGCCCTAACCATCTGTTTTCGATTTACTTTTCAGGGGGGTTGGGTCTCGGGTCTGGGTTTAAGGTCAATTAATTGGGTTGGTTCGCGGGTTGGGCAAGAATGGCTGACAGGGCGGGTAAGGCTGAGCTGGCGGGTCGGGTCGATGTTTTTTAATGTTAAAATATGCTGACTGTGTCTTTCTGTTAGCCACGTCATCACTTAACGGTCGTCATTAACGGAGTCTAACGGAGGTTAACGGAGAGTGACCGAACTTGGACTGTTCAACTAATTCAAGTGACTATAAATGGAATAAATCAATTTGAGTGGCAAACGTGAAATTTTTAAGCAATTCGAGTGACCAAACTTGCAATTAAGCCCATTTTAATATATTAAAGGTGGCAAATTGGTCTCGTTTCTCGCACGTTTTATTTTGTGGTGATTGACTCGCTACCGCTACAATTCAATAATAGGCCAGTGTAGCCAATAACCGACTATAGCATAGAGTAAGTATTTCAAATATCAACTCGGGCGATCTATGTACCCTTACTTCGGCCATCTACAAGTTATCTAGCAGTCGAATTGATGTTAAAGCTAATAAACTAAGCAAGCATGCAAATAAAACGATATTGAATTCAATCGAGAAAAGCTCACTCGGACGTTATTCTTCCTAGTCTCGTGTTGAGATGCAATTGTGATACTATAGTATGATAGGTAAGCATTCATATATCATTAGGAGATCAAAATTAGCTAGGACCCCTATTTGAGCATCCTAGCCCGCTTAATTGATCTAATCAGAGGGGTGTACCACACAACCGCAAAAGACAACTATAGCGATCAATTCCTCTCCCTCAGAGATTAACCCGGAAACGGCGAAAAGTCACCAATCACAACGATTGCATGATAATACCTCAATCTATACATAAATCAAAATACCCATCAATAAATGAGTTAACAAACTACAATCTACAACATCCTACACTAGGGTTCCTAACATCCAAGTGAATGGAGTAACTACTACATAGCTATAAGAGAAACAACAACTAGAATAAAAGAAAAATCCATGGAAAGTGATTCATCCTTCTCCTAGTTGCTTGCGTGGATGCTTGGAGATGAAATCTGCCCTCCAATTGTCTTGGGTAGGTCAAATTCACCTTCAACTCCTCCTTGCTCATAGCTCTTTCTATCTTTAAAGAACAATTCTCAACTCTCTCTCTCTCTCTAGAACTCTCCCATCCGATTTCTGCTAACTCTCCTTTATATAGTCTGCTAGTGCACATATCACTTTGCACTTCACGCTAGTTCAGTATGCAATGAAATCGTTATCTAACCGCAAAATACACTGTTTCATTAACACACTTTACGGTCGGAGGACTATGATCCTTGCAATGTCTGCGAACTGCATGAAAGCTCCCGACAATTGCAGACTTCACGGTTCGACTGCTGACTTCACGGTCTGAGACCGTGATCCTCGCGCTACCTGCGAACTGCACAAAGTCTCCTGGAAGTTTTTACTCTTTACAGTTTCCTCATCGACATCACGGTTGCTGCCTGTGATCATCCCCGTCTGGCCGTGATCAATACACTTTTGTCCATTTTGCTCCCTTTTTTATCCCTTTAGTCCAACTTTGGATCCTGATATCCATTCTACTTGTTAAGGTCTGAAAAATGACAAAACAAGACCAAACCTAGCGTAAAATAGCTCCAAGGACGATGCAAACCAAGCCAAATGGCACAAGGCAAGGGGTATAAAAGTGTAATCTATCTCGAATCAAACTCACCCAAACTTGAACATTTGCTTGTCCCCAAGCAAATGTGCTCAAACAAGTACAACTTGTATGAAAATAACAATAGTATGCACTATCAATCATCGGTGGCGCCTCAAAAACTATCAAAGTCCGATAAATTTTACTTTTGTCTCTTCGTACCAACACACACTCTTGGATGATGACCTTGTCAACTAAGGAGATCTAGACACTTCACGTGTGCACTAGGGGACACATAGAAAATATGTGAGAAGCTAAGGAGTCCATGGTGGTGCTCCTACTTTTTCAAAATAGGACTCAAAATTTTCAAGTCTCGACTTAAACTTTGTTGTACATGGCACCACATTTTGCACATTAAGGCATCTCTCCCTCGGGCTAAGATCAGAAGTACATTGCCTTCCTATCAAAGCCTCATGTGGGGACGTGATGGTTGGATTCATTGCCACAAGCACCACTTCCCAACCTAGACTTTTCATCTCAACGACAGACGAGTTGCCAATACCACACATGTGAGTAAAAATAAGAGCCCGATGTCTCATTGACTTGCTTAAAGGCACACTTTCTCTTTATCATACAAGTCTGTGAGGAGAAGAGGTGTTTGGGGGGTGGAAAATAGTGAAAGATGATCGGGACGCTAGAAAGCTATCCCGTCCCCAAACACATCCTGAAATGGCATTCCTAACCGAGAGAAAAGCTCTTCGGCTGCTTAACTCAAAACTATGTTCTGTTGCCTCTCACGTGAGAACACTCAATTTTTTCAAAAGCTTTTTTCAAATTGGAGCACCTTTTGTAGAACTTTTTGGAGTCTAGAATTGGGGAATCCCACACACATGTCCTAACCGTCATAACAAACACTTTCACACTTTCGAGAGCAAATTGAAGTAAAGCCACTCATTATCTAGAATGTTCGTAGCACCACACCATTCCTTATAATGCACACTATCACAATCACCAAACAATTCACAGCACACTGAGCAAGATCATGTTTGGGACAATTGTGTTCGAAACCCCTAGAATTTTCAATTTAAGCAAGAATATAGGTTCCAAAACACATCTCAATATCGGCCATTCATCAATCATACATGCGCAAGTGTTTGGAGCTCTCAAATTGTAGAAATTTGGCAATCACAAGGCTCCAAATCATTTAAGTAGGCCATTCACGCTCATTCACATGCCAATTACAAATATATGTACACCCCTCCCCCCTCCCCCCCCCCCCCCCCCACACACACCCACATGCACACACTTAAGCATGACATTGTCTCAAATGGAGCAAGGATAGGGGTAGAACAAAGTTGCCGAATCATTGTGAGTGAAAGCCGGACTGGAGATGAACCAGTTTCAAGGAAGAGAGAGCTTCACACAGAACAAACACATGCTCGCTCTAGGCGAGGTTATTACACAATCACAGTATTCAAAACACCACAAGAAAATAAAAACAACACAATATTACTAGTTAAACACACAAAAATAACACACAAAGAGTGTAGAGTCAAAGTGGAAAGAATTAAGATGCAGGTACTACGATGCCAACATGGCAATCAAGTGGTGACTACCCCTTGTGAGGAGGTGAAGGAGGCCACTCAGGGTCCTGAAACACAATGTCCTGGGCATGGAGCATCGCCTCCTTCAATCGGTGTGAATGTCGCCGGGCGTCGCGCTCCTGGGCGATCTGGGATGAAATTCCTGCAAAATGCTCCACAATGACAGAGAGTGGGGCCTCAAAGTTTTCCGAGGAAGAAGGACTGGCTCCGGATGTTGCAGAAGCACCGGCATGGCCACGTCGGCGTGGTGGTGGAGCTCTCTGGGGTTGTTGTGGTGGCTGGTAAAGACCCTCATTGTATCAGAAAGGTCCAACACTCGGAATAAATGCATGGAACCTAAGGTCTCCTCCTGGAAGTTTGTAGTGGTCCACCTTGGTGCAAATGCTAAGGCCGATGTTCAGATACCGTGCTAACTTTGTAGTGCCCCAAATGCATGATCCAATTATGATGTCTTCTTGTTGCCTTGGAGAATGAAGTTGCCAAAAATGACCCAAGGTGCAGCTTATTAGTTACATCTGACATGCTGGTAAAGGTGAGAAAAGCTCTTTTGGTGACCTTGTTGGACGATCGATCACTTGTGTGAATGGAGCCGACTAGGAGTGTATTGATGATGCACCATTGAGGTCGGAGCAACATTGTCGTGGTACGAGCCAAGTCATATCAAACTTGCTAATCTTGAGGTATGCACACTATGTCAAACACGAATTGATAATCGATGTCATTGATGAAATCAACCTCAAAGTCATTCACAATTGTCCCAACTCCTAAGTTAGTGGGTGGGTTAGTTTAAGACCGAAACCCAGCCAACTCACTCATTGCCCACCCCTATTGCCCACTACCATACTAGCTGCTAAACCTCCTCTTGAGCATTTTCCTCTCATTCCTTCTAATCGCCATTGGAAAAAAGAAAATCGTACCAAAATAGTTCCAACGATGTTATTGTTTTTTGCCTCGATAGACAACCTCAGCCAAAATCGCAATTAGGCATGATAAACAGTTATCATGTTATCGATGTAACTGATAACTAAACCAGAACTTGTGGTCAGCGATTATACCAATCATCGTTTAAACAGTAAATGAGCGGTTTCCTTTAGCTAAATTTAACAAATTACTAACTGACGGTTATACAGTTAGTAACCGACTGTTAAGGGGTTAACAACTAACCGATTACGGTATCCTCATAGTTAAGGCCGAAAATAATATGCCTCAATGAGCCGTGTGCATAGGCCAAAAATAAGGGGGTGTTTGAAGACCTACAAGATCCCTTGCCTACTCTAGTTGTAATAATGGTTTAGGTTCAAATGACAATAATTCCAAGGAAAGCCTTTAGAAGGAGCATAGTAGAAAGTTGGAGTTGCACACAATAGCTCGACAACTATTAGTAACATTTTTTATTCCATATAAATTGGTGTGGTATATGAATTGAGTAATGGTTGTTGGGTCTCTTATTCTTGTGTGCTTCTTTGATCAAATTTGGCGGTGGAATTGTGTGATTGTTTACTTGTGTTGGATTGAGTTGATTATGAATTTATATATATATTTTAAATGATTTTTTATTCAATTGATGATAACAACTTAAAAAAAGAACACAACGTATCTAGGAGAAAACCTATAAAAATGTACAATTGAAAAAATGAGGAGGTCTTCTATTGGTTAGGTTATCGATCGGTTATTTCGGTATAGCATTGGTGAATCATTTGATTAACGGTTGTTCGGTTAACCAATAAAATAACCGACTAATATAAACAATGCGGTTAACCGTAAAGGCGTAAACACAAAGTAATTAATAATTAACCGGGAAGTTAGACGATTCCGGATATAACCAAAATGATTGTAAGTAGGGCTGCAAATGAGTCGAGCTGCTCGCGTTCGACTCGGCGTTCGACTCGAGAAAAACTCGTTCGAAACTCGGCTCGTTAATAAATGAGCCGAACATGGCTAAGCTTTGTTCAACTCGTGAAGCTCGCGAGCTAGCTCGTCTCGGTGGCTTGTTGAGCTAAACTCGTGAACTGGCTTGTTTAGAGCTCATGATATGTCTCATCATGTGGCTAGAGAGCCAACTCGATTACCGACTTATGGACGAATCAATATATATATATATATATATATATATATATATATATATCTTATGATTTTAATTCATATGGTTGTTAAATTATATATCTCGCCATATATAAAGTTTAACACGTTGAGTATGTGAGCAAATATATCTTATTTTCTATTTTAAAAAGAAAATATGTATCATAGATTGCTTCGATACTATGAAATAATTTGATTTGGATTAGTTAAAATTTATAACTAAATGATATATGATATCAACAAAGTATAATATGAGATTAGCTAACAAAATAAATCATATGTATCATGATATACAAAATGAAATACCAAATAAAAGTCAAGATTTTATTAAACAAGCTAGCTCGAACCGAGCTCAAACTAGGGTTAAAGTCGACTCGACCCGACTCATTTGCAGCGCTAATTGTAAGTAAGCCTATTGGCAATCCACATATATCTTGGAAAAACCAGCAACCAGATGTTAATGACTTAATGCATAATCTGAACAGGAGACTCTCTTTCCCAAAGCCAACCTCACTAAATGTGACAGTCAGACGCGCCATCCTATCTATATACTATATCCCCTCTTTCCCGAGCTGCTCGCCTACGGCTACTCCTCCAAAAATGGCGATGAAAAGTACAGCTCCAACCATGGCCGATATACTGGCCTGTTCCAAATCCCAAAATCTAGACCTCCAGCTCAAAACTTTAGGACCCTTTTTCAGAATCACAGCAAGGAGTTTGGAAACAGGGAACGAACTCGGAAGAGCCGAAGGTTTGGTGAGGCTCTGGCTAGGGGGGAAGAGGATTCTTCACTTGGACTCCATTAGGCTGCAAAGAGAGACGCTTGGGATGGAGAAGTCGATCTTTGGGATTGGGTTGTTCATTGGAGCTGTCGCCATCAGACATGGCTATGACTGTGGCTGCAACGTGGCTCAGTTGCTCGCCATTAATGACTCGGACCTTTATCATTCCAAGGTTCTGGTTTCTGGGTTTCCCCTCTTAGTTTCCCGTTCTTGGCTTTTGCTGGTGTCTACTGTATACGTGTGATGTATCAACTTGTGGCCATTTTTCATTGTAGCTTGTGAAGTTCTACATAAGGATTGGGTTCAAGGCAGTTCATGAAGTTAGTGGATCTACACTTGAGGATCTCGCCCACATGCTGGTGTGGGGAGGGATTGGAACCAGAATGGATGCTGAGATTGATCACCTTCTTCTTAAATGGTGCACCAGGTTCACACCTTCAAGCTAAAGCCACCCTGCCAGCTGCTCATCATCCATTCTGCATCTGTTCATTCCGTTGTCTCAAATTCGTAGACATTCTAATGTGTATAGCTAGAGACAGAGGATACTCATGCTTGTTTAAGGGAATATAAAATTCTGAACTCTGTTATACATAACGCCTGCAACTGTCAGTTCAGACACCGGCTTTCTGAAAAAATAAGTGTGCATCACTGCACTATCTATACTAATAAGGGGCTTCTGCGATTCAGAGAGTTTTGATAAACCCCTGGGTTCAACCAAAGCAATTTCAGCTACTACGCTTACACAAATGAAAAAGGCCATCACAATAACTCTCAAAATCGGAGATCTTCAATGTCAGTCAATTTGGCAGCTCCCTTGCTCTTATCAGGCAGATTAACTACCAACTGACCACAAGCACCGCTTATATCCTGACCCATTTCCTTCCGTACTGTTGTCCTGATGCCATGGACGCCTCTCAAGATTTTCTGGAACTTCAAAACGTTCTCCACGCTGCTGGTTTTGAATTGACTAGAACTTCCAATTGGGTTGAAAGGTATCAAGTTTATAACCTGGTGGATGCCCAGTCAGAAAAACCGTGTCACATACAAAATGCTGCTTAATTATTGACATACACGGTTGAACCTTATTATTCACCAGTCAAGTCACTCACCACTTCAAAAGTCTCCAACAATTTGGCCAGCTCATGAGCGTGCTGCTCTTCGTCATTTACGCCATTAAGCATTATGTACTCGATCAGTATTTTCTGCTGACTAAAGAACAAAATGTAATCAGATGCTGAAACTGATATATGGTGAGGAAAAAAGAAATAAATTCACAAACCAAACATTTTAGTTTTCACCTTTCTTTTTGATACGCTTGCAAAGATGCCATAAGTTTTTCCAATGGAAAAGCACGAGCTGCTGGCATTATTTGACAGCGGATTTCCTGAACAGGTGCATGGAGCGATACTGCCAAGTTCAAACCAGGCAAATCCTTGTGCAGCTTGTTGATAGCATGGATTATCCCAACCTACAAAATAAAAGATAATTTAACAGGTATGCTACTAAGTAATGGTTCCTGCACTCATTACTTCATTTTTGAAGTACCAGCAGAGCAAGCCGAGAACAAAGGTATCACTACTGATTTGAAGTGCGTTCTATTCTCTATATGCACACTTTATTGTCTAACATGTATTAGTAAGAGTTGGATCATGTAATTTTCAACTGCATACATACCGTGGATACAGTCATTTTCTTTGGTGAGATCTGAAATGGAGGTGCTAACATAACACGAACAGCTTCTACCAACATGGTATAGTTGTTCAATGGTTCACCCATCCCCTGTCAATAAACAGATGGTAAAGGGGTTTTGTCAGCTTTTCATTCAGTAGAATCAAGTTGATCATACAGACACATTTACTGAGCATGGGAGTGTAAACTATTGATGGAAAAGAGGAATAAGATCCTGCAGATTTTGAATAGATTTTAAACCAAGTAAACCCAAAAATTGTAAGAGAGGAAGAAAATATAAAGCAGATTCGTGACAAAAATCCAAAGTCAGAATCAGGTTGACAAGTAGTTACCATGAAGACAATATTGCGTATATCTGACAAGCGAGAAGCATGAACTAATTGTTCAACAATTTCTCCACAGGATAGGTTGCTTTTGAATCCCATGCTTCCAGTTGCACAGAACTTGCAACCCATTTTACAACCAACCTATGCCAAAACATGAAAACACAGAAATAAAAGTGACTCATCATAGGCAAGCAGAAAGTTATGAGAGACACAAGAGAACCTAGTTCCACCCATATACCAAGAACAAAAGGCAAAACTTGATATTGAGAATGAAATGCTAGCTGAACTTATCAATCACCAACCTGGGAAGAAATACAGAGCGTTGACCTTGGGCCACCGGGACGAGTTTTGCCATCATACCTCCCCAAACGACTGTCATACCTCATAACAACTGCCTCGACAAATGCTCCATTCTGAGAGAGAAGTTTGTACATCAGAGATAGCAACACTGGATTTTCCGTTGGCTAGTCCAGCAACAATAGCAACTAGATGACTGAACCATAGTGTTGAAACCAATGCAATTTTCCTTTCTGGGCCATGCCCGCGGAGGGGCAAAAAACAAGTCAAATTCGAAGCAGAAGACCGTGAAAGAGAAGTACCTGAAGCTTAATGAGGAGTTTGGTAGTGACCCCATCACTTGAATCGATAACAGAGTCAACAATAGAAGTTAAAGGTCTGAACTTTGAGCGGAGAACTGAGTATGCAGCAGACGGCAGGCTGGGTATATCATCCCATTCACAGGTAGGGTTCTTAACCACATGCCTGAATATCATAACCACCCACAGAGAAAAACAGACAACTTTTAGCACCAATTCACAAAACCGAAGGATAGGCAAAGAACAGCAATCTGTACTCAATGCACATAAAGGAAATTTCGGACACGCACTTCCAAATCACTGGGATGAATTGAAGGCTGACCCCTGCTTTCTCAAACTCGCTTCTGATTTCTGGAGCGTCAAATATCGATCGAAAGACCATTCTTTGCTTGCCCTGTTCAATACCTTTGCTTGATTCCTTCTTTGGGTTAGCTTCAGTTGCGTCTCTGGTTTCAGTTCAGCCGTCGCCTGTGCTGGAGATGGCCGCTGGCTGGTTCCGGGAAGTGATGGCTCTCGGGACTTCCGTTAGGATGCTGCTCTTCGATTGATTTTCTTTTTTCCCCTGGGCGGCCCGGCCCGGCCCGGCCCGGCCTGGTGGCCAATTACACTCCAAAGTCCAACCCTAGAAGGCTGGAACTAAATTTAGGGGTAGGCAGGGGTAGTTAATCCGCAGGTTGATATCAGTTCACTAGTAAATAACTCGAATCGCAAGCAGTAGGTGATTGATATGGATGGATTACGAATTGATAAATCTCGTATCCGCACTTATGTGGGTGGGTGGTGAGTGGATTGCGGCTCACCCGAGTAACATGTACTATATTTTCACATGACAAAATGTTATTTCTTATGCTATCAGATATTCATCATATTTTCTAAACGTACTACACACTTACCATATACTTCTAAAACTGGAGAATAAAAAATATTTTCGGACTAACTATTATTGGTTATTGTGTTGAATAATATCCATTAGATATTGGATGCAAATTATGAACTATTAATTTTATCAAAGTCGCAAAATGTGAAATCTTTCTTAATTTCTCTACACAAGTGGTTGATAGAGTATTGAAAATTTTGATGCAAATATTAAATGGATTCACATGAGACAAAGTTGGAAGTGTCTAATTTGGTACAATCTTACTAATTTACAAAGAACATATTATAAAATATAAATGTTAGTAAACTTTCTTAATGGCTAGTTGGTGAATTTCTTTTGCGGGTTAACCCACAATCAAACTGTATCATCCATCCATCCGCCACCCACCCAACCCAATCTGCTGAAGAATGTGGTGGTTAGCGAGTCACAGATATACAAGCTCGCTAGTAAGCAAGTGGGCCGAATTGAGACCAAAACACATCCAAACCGCTCATTGCCCACCCCTTAGAAGACATATTTGGATAAGGGTGTTGAAAATAGTGGATATCGTGGTAACTCATTTAACTGGTAGTATATTTGGATAATTTGGTTTGGTTTAATATGTTTTACTTATTTGGTTTCTGTATTTTGGTTTCAGACGTTGCTAACCAATCAAACCAATTAATTAACTAAAGAATTAGCAATATATCTAATACGCAATATCAACCCAACCAGACATCGAGGCTACCAATCACCAACCAGTCACTAAAGTGGGACGAGAGGTCCCCAGGACGATGTGAATGAACATCAAGACAACGGTTATCAACTAGTCATCAAGACAACGATGAGCACTCTGAGGCAGTTGGAGCAACCAGCCAGTTGATGGTCACTAGGACAGTTACACCTAGTGGTTATTGTGGTTATAAATAGGAGAAAGAAAACTAGAAAAAGGCTTCACAACCAAACACTTTATATCCAATGTCAACATTTACTATTTCTTTGCAAATAGGCCATAGGTAATTTCTGGAGTTCTCGCTGAGTCTCCATAATTTGACGTAACTTGTTCCCATAAAAAACATCAAACATCTTTGTTGGAACATTATTCAAAGATATATGAACCATGTTATTATCGTTGCTCAAGAAGTTAAGATGCAATTCATCTATATCAAACACTAAGGCCCTGTTTACTTTCATTTCTGTTTCCTGTTTTTGAGAAAACAGATGTTGAAAACAGGTGAAAACAACATTTCGTCGTTTCCGAAAACAGCAGGAAGTTGTCACTTTCTGTTTTCATAGTTGGAAACGAATAGAAAACAGAATGAAAAGTAAACAAGTTTTCTCATTTCGGTTGCCAAATTTATGACATGAAAACAGAAAACAGGAAACGAAAATGGAAGTGAACAGGGCCTAAAGTTTCCTAAGCGAAAAAAGGTGAATACGAATTGACACCAAGTAAATCCTCTGCTTTTCTTAGCCTCCAACGGATTGAGCATGGTTTCCCAATAGCAACCGGCTAAGTGGCAAAAAAAGGTATCATCACGGTCAAATCAAGCATTGCAGCTTCTCCATAATCTGAATGTCGATCGAAGCCACAGAGCCAGCCCCTTACTAAGTTTTTGACTATCATCTTCGGCAACCAATTCATCCATTGCTTCATTAAATAAGGCAAGCCCCGCCATGGCATCATCCTCTGTTCATATAACACAACCATTACACAAGATAAATTGTGAGATTGACCGGAGTAGAAAAAGGAATCCTCTGCTTGTATCCTTGTAGTACTAGTAGTGTATCAGCAAAAAGACTCACCAGTAATTGCTACCATCAAAATGAGCTTTCCTCTTCTCTACATCAACTTTCCCATGTTCCCAGCAATCTGCTAGTTAGTAGTTCCAGAAGATCTGGTTACTTCGATGTTGTTTCCTAACATAAATTGCTAGAAGATCCTTGTAACTCCAATTCCTCTGCTTCCTGAACTCCATAAATGCCTCGGAGCTAGCATGGAAGTCTCCTTTCCCCAATACCTCAAACAGGAACGGATCGGTGAGCACTACCGGCGATTCATCCAAATTCGATTTCCTGAATGCAAACTCCAAGTTCCTGCCCAATCTCTTGTCCAAGTAAGCGTCGACCACACATCCAATAGTCACCAGATCAGGATCGACTTTACAGTGTCTCATATGTTCAAGGCTCAGATGAAGATCCCACAACAGTGACATCTTCGAAAACGCCATAGCTCGGATGTTGAATGTCGTGAGATCGGGATGAAACCCGGAATCCAGCATGCTGACAAATTCCCTCTGCAAGCTCTTCATCTTGAAATTTGCTGCATAAGATACCAGCAGAAGGTTCCACAAGAGGTTCCCCACATTTCTCCTACGAAGACCGACATCCCTCACAAACTCACCAAGCTGGTAAAACTTCCTCTGCCTCATGTATGCAGACGACATTGCCCTGATCCCTTCCTCCTCTATGAGAACCCTGGACCTTTTAACACGATGATATGCAGCCTCCATTTCGGTTAAAGACCCATGAATGCTGTAATATCTAAGGAAGGCATTTGCGACGGAGGATCCAAGTTTAAAGCCCTTTGAAACCATCTGGTTCACAGTGCTTTCCATCAACTCGAGCTGTCCTCCCTGCCCATAGCAAGAAATAGCCAAAGGGTATACCTTTGGCAGCATTTCGGTATGCCTTAAACTCAGCTGATCGACAATCTTGGCTACCTCCTCGTACAATCCCTTCTTCCCATAAGCAAGCATTAAGTCGGAAACTACATCTATGGTGGGCGTAAAGGAACTGTTTAACATCTCATCCCATATTGCTTGAGCATGAGGGAAGAGACCATTATCGGCATAACAGAGCATTAGAGCACAAAGAGTCGAGCTGTCGGGTAGAAACCCTTCACTTTTCATCTCAAGAAAAACCTCATGGGCGAGATGAGGCATCCCTTCCTTCCGCAGATTTTGAATTAAGGATGCACAGTTGACAAACGTTTGCTTGGAACCCTCGTCTCGATAAGTTTCAGAATACTTTGTGATCTGTACACAATAGAAGAATTGGGGCTAAATTCTTGAAGACAAACCCAACAAACCACAAACCCAATCGGGGACTTGGCAGCAAGATACACGCAAGGGAGCACAGTTGAAAGAGAAGAACCATAAGCGAAGAAGAGAGACCCATAAATGAAACAGCGGGTACCTTGAGAAGAGAGGTAAAGCTCTCAGCTTGTTGAATTTCTGAAGAATGTCCGCTCGACCCACTACAACGCCAATATTGAAGAGGGCTTTGGTGGTAAGCGCCATGGATAGAAGAAGAAGAAGAAGAAGAAGAAGAAGAAGAAGAAGGGTTAAGAGAAGCAGAACGCAGAATACTTATGTAATTCGTGGTGGGGGCGAAACCCCGTAGGCAGTCGAAGGAATTCGAACTAGTTGCTTCCATGGCCTCCCCGCCAAGTTGTGTGTCCTTCGGCGATAGTAGGCATGGGGTTGTGAAAGAAGAGGAGGAGGAAGAAATGGCGGGGCCCAGCGTGCCACAACGTGGAACTGCCTCTGCGTTTCGTTCTCCTTCTTGGCTTCCCACTCATCCTTGTAGTTGGAGGCTTGGAGGCTGGAAGCTGATACTGTATTTGTTATATATATCAAATATTGTATTGAATTTATTATTACTTGGCATTATTGAATATCGTTTTATTTTTTAGTGATTAGAATTCATTTTGGAGTGCTATTCGGTATTCAGGATTAAAATGAGTATATACAAATATCGAGAATTATCAAAACTTAACAATTAATGAACTATAACACACAACATTTGGTCATTCCTCGCTCTTTCACAGCTTAGAAGTTCCTATCCAACTCAATTTTGACTTTCCACTTTACGTAACTCTCTTCTCTCACCTAATCTCTTGTTATTCTCATAACACCAAAAAGCAAACACTAGTATTAGTCGTCTCTCAACCTTCAATTCGTCAAATTAAAGATTACCAATGACAAGAATTTGAGATGTCACCTCTCCTTCATTCTCCTTATCCATATCCTAGCTCTGGCCGCTAGGCAAACTCAAGACTCTTTACTTAGTCTCTTTGCCTTAAATTAAATAATCAAATCTAATTTATATATTCAATTATTAATTACCAAGGTAATTAATTTTGTATTCGATGATACCGACTGGGATAGTGAAATATTTAGGAATTGAGATTAGGATACCGAAATTATTTATGGAGTGAGATTGATGTTGATTTAGGGGTGTAATTCGGTCTTTGGGATTTTTGGTATTTGGTATTGTGATACCGATATCGTACCGATTTCCACCCTTACTCGCAAGTACTTGGGGTTTTCTGAAAACTCCAACAGAAAACTTCATAGGAGAAATGACCTCCTTAACGCTGCCTTTTATTCTCCTGTCGAGTGTCGAGCCAAATTTCCATGGACGTCCAACTGCCGTCTGCACTCTTTCAAGGTATCAGCAAATGCTTGTCTATTTCCCCACCTCACCCAATTCCATTCCCAAATGATTGATGAGTTATACCACATTTGGGAAGGGGGTAAATGGGAGGGGGAGCATGAATATTTGCAATAGTGTTAGGGGTGCCGGGGGGGGGGGGGGGGGTAAATGCACTAACTATTCTAATTTACTCCCCAATTTGGAGTGGAAAGGGAGAGAGAGAGAGAAAAAAGGGTAACTAGGGAATGTGCTTATACTCCATGCATCCAGCTTGTCACTCCAATGATTTATCTTTCTCATAATATTCAAGACACATGGATTAGCCCATGCTTCCGTCGGCACCTTTAAGTAGTCAGCGTGGCCTGTCCAGAACGGATCAAAACGAAAGCTCCAACCCCATATAGGATCCTTGTCTTTCTCCCCACGGGTGTCACAGATAATGATCTATGATCATATATCGTCTTGTCTAAGTATTTAACATGGCCATTGATGAACAAGTCCAACATTGATTCGACGCTAAAAACCTATGCAGACTCTCCTTTACATATCCTTCCACTCGTCACATGTTCTCCCAAGTGAATTGGTAACCTTCAAAACCCAAGTCCTTCAAACCCTGATCGATGAGGTCTTTCATTAAAATACAACATATCCATCTCCTTTAAAGTACGCCTTTCGTTCTTTTTCTCTATCGACGAATTTCATTGAAATCCTCACCACATAGCCATGCTCCTTACCGTTGAGATGCTACCCCTCAACCACCCATAGACACCCGTAAACCTCCACACCACATCACATTCCTTTACTATCTTCAAGTCAAGACAATGAGGAAAAGAGTACATTAGGGTCAACTTTACTTCCTCCTTCCACCATATGCTAAGACCTCCTGCTGTGTCTTTCGGACAACATTCTCCACCAGTAAATCTCAATTCATTCTGCACCTTCTCGTTTTCTTCTTTTGCTTGCTTGGTCTCTATAAGGAAGATCACTTGCTGAGAAGCAAATCGCAAAAATGACTTCAAAGCTCTAATTGTGAGCTTTCTTCCCAAGTTGCCACAGTTGTAACTCAAAATCCTCATTAATGACCGTAAGGGAATAGGTTCCCCAAACCATTAACATCATTCCTAGTATGTTCAGCCCGACCTTCAGCGTGTTAAGCATTAACACATCTCGTCTATTTTCACCACTCTCTCCTCCATCTTTCCCTTTTCACTTTGAAAGATGGAATTGGTCTTATTGCTTAACTTGATTGCCACCTGTCGTGACTCTACACTAAGGCACGACTGGAACCTTTTGTTTGACCCCTCCTTCGCATGAGAATGAGATCCTTATCCACCCTTTCCTTTCTCTACTGCTTTATCCCATTGTTGGTGTCACCACCCCTACACTCTCCGATCTGCATGAAATCATCACCATCAAGCTTCGCCTCATGCAGTACGTGGAAGTTGTTGTGCATCGTAAGCAGTGAAACGCCTTTTCATTCATCCCACGAATCGATTTTACCCTACTCTTTTGTGTACCATCATCCATTCCCCATAGACAGTCCCATTCGTTGGGTCCAAGGGTTGAGTCTCTGGTACCACCTCAGGCACTGTTCCTTGCTCTCCTGATTCACCTAGCGACATTCGCACATGTCCGTAGGTTTCCCATGTGTGCCACATTCCCCACATATGTTATTTAAACCTTCATATTGTATCAGGTATGTCACCCCCTTCTATCTTGTATTTAGGCAAGAGTGGTCGTGTCAGATCAACTTCCACACATACCTTCATGAATTTCGCTCGGGCTCCCCATTCCGTGGCCCTATCCACACGTATCAGCTTCCTAATTCCTTCCCCTATCTTAATCACCGCCTCATTATTCAAATAAATCCATCGATCGGTAGCTGAACCCACAATATTGTGGATTTAATTTTCATTATCCAAGGATTAAAACCCTTAAACCAATAGTGGACTGTAAGGTATGTTTCTCCCAGTAGCCACAGGCCTCCGAAAGAGGCCAACTCATAGTCCAGCTGGTGTTTGAATCTCACCAATAAACACTCGTTCTTCATATATGAGATCTGGATTTCTCCATGCCTAGCCTAGAGATAGTTCATGCACCAACCTAACGCAAGGTAGGAAACCCTTCTTCCAAGTCCCTTCACAACTAACATAGACCTCCACCAGCTTCTCCAAAGGATTCTCTCAGCCGCTGTGAACAAGATCGTCAGACACTTCTGACCATTCTCCTCCTCCATAAGAATATCATCTTCTTCACGTTCTTGTGTCGCAACATCTCCAGAATCCGAGCCAACTACATACCAGCCCTCCTCCTCCACCAGATTCTAAAAGAGTTTTAAAGCTTCACTCTTCCAACCTAGGGTTTCAGATCATCCGACGGTGGGCTCCCTGCTGGCTCATCTCCTTCTCAGTTTCCATATCAGAATTCATACCATCCAAGCCAACCTTGCCTGTTCCGGATTCATAGCCCTAACACGTTTTTGTTGTTGTTGCAGAGTCTCCTTCACTTTTACCATCCGACGAGGAGGATGCTGTGGCCAACCTGCGACATCCGCTTGTACCCAGCAACTTCTCAGTCGAGGCTGGTACGACTGTTGATGGCAGCACTATCATCGCGTTAGAAGAAGCTTTTCTCACAAATTGCCTTCGTGTAATGCGGAGCACTAGGGTTTTCCTTCCATGTTTTCTCGTTAGAGCCATATTAACCTTATATATTATATAAATAATGCTACATTTTACATAAATCATTGTAAACATTAATAAAATTCATTTTTCATACTTTTACTTTTATGTATTTAATTGTTTACTATTAATTAATTCCTAACCATAAATTATTCTGTGCGAATTAACACTTTTAATTGCTTATTTCTAACAAATTTATTTGCCTATTTAATATTTATGGTTTTTATTTTTCTCGTTTATTTTATTAAAACCGAAAAAACTCGATTATACCACTTGTTGTATCATTCCACTTGTCAAAGTGGCATATTAGCATAAACCGGTTTGACAATATACCTCATAGTGACATAGTCTCATACAATTCCATCCCATTGGTCAACGTCCGTCCATCAAGACGGCAACGTAATGGTTCTCCCTTCTCGTTTCTTACCGTCCGTCGACTCTCTTTCCCTCTCCCCTACGGCAGAAAGCTCCTCCAATTCAAATCCAACTCTAAACTAAACTTTCCTCTTCCATGGCCGACTACCGGCGAGAAGACGGGGCAAGAAGCAGCTATTCCGGCCGCGAGCATAAATAAACCACGACGCCCTTCAGCTTTCCCTAAAGCTTACACCCTTGGATTTGGGCGTTTCTCATCCCTCTCTGCTGTATCACGAAGGGCGAGCGGGCCCCAATCAACTTCGGGTGGAGTCGGAAGGGACTGAGTTTTTTCCCAGGCTTCAGTCATCGGAGCCCGCCGCTACGGTCAGATAATTGTAATCAGTCGGGCAAGCTGCAAGGCGGCGATTTTGCTGCCCTAGCTTCCGTTCAATTCGCGGTTTAAGAGTGAAGGGAGAATGGATCCGGAACAGACGTTTATAAGATTGCAAGAGCGGTTTTCGCAGGTGTTGACCGCCAAAGTGAGGGCTACTTTGGAGTATGTCTATTTGTTTATCGCTGTTACTCTCTTCAGCATTCTCGTAGTCATGCACGCCAATTATGTTCAACAGGTACATCCTCGAATTGTTCATAGCTTCAGTCTAGGGTCTTCTTTTTTGTGGTCTTAATTTGGCTTAGATCATATGTTGTGCTACTGTTTTCTGTGAGATTGCCTTGAACGATGATGTTGTTGGGTTGTGTCTGCCTTTCTTTTCTGTTTTCAATATCACTTGGTACGAGCTAAGGTGGTGCGTGACTGTGGTTCTTGGTACAACATTGAGTAAAATTTGAATCGAGTAAATGAAGTAATGCGCTTGTACTTGATCAGCTTCACCAACTTTTCTTTTTAGTGGTTGGGTGTTGATGCCATCCTTGGAGATTCATCAACAAAAGAAAAAAAAAATGCTGCGTGCTCTTTTTGATGAAAATGCTTGTCCTTTTTGCATGTGCAGCCGGGATGTTCAAGTGAGCTTCCTGGAGTTGAAGCTTTGGATGCCCAACTTATTCACATAAAGGTATGTGCTTTCATTCTGTCTTCTCCT